CAGGCCAAGCTTGATTAGGTTTAATTGGGGTTAACTTTTTTTGGAGCTGGTGAGATCATCCTCTCACTCAAGGGTGAATTTACCACTCCCTGGACCTAACCACCCAGTGTTTCCCAGAAGACCTTGACCAACCAGGAGAGACATGGATCTAAGACACTGATGGCCATGCTTATAGCCCCAAGGACCCTGTCTACTTCCTCAGGACCAAAACACGCAAAGCAGATCATGCTTCAATCAACTCCATAAGACCTGCACATCTGGAGTCCAGCTCAGAAGAGATCCAAGATGCCTTGAATAGTCCTCCCAGTGCCCCTGCAGATACTGCCTCACCCCTCCCCAAGAAGAACCATGCCACCTTGAACAGGGCTGCCAGCCAGCTATGTGATCATGATAAGAGTAGAAAAATAGTTACATTTTACTGCTGTTATTGTCAAAAAGTAATCCTTTTCCTGCAGTGGTGCTCCAGGTGTCTCTTCTGCTGTTTTACCTCTTAGTTCCACTGAAAACCAAGGGGCATCCCAGGATCCTTAAGCAGGGAGATCCTGCACAGGTGCATTCTCTTCTGCTGTCACTCTCTTATTCCAAGTGGCAACTAAATCCTCAGTTGAACTGTGCATCAGGACCTAATGAACAACCTCAAGCTCCTTCTGAAACCCAACAGACTCATCAGGTATCTGGGTGGATTGATTAAACAGGTCCTACCTCTGTGCAGTAATCAAAAAATGATAGACCATGACAGGGGACTGATGTTAACCTTCTTGACCTCCAGAACACATCACCATCATCCTAAGACAAAGAACAGGTCTAACATGTGACCTCTTTGTGTCAGCCCCCTGATGATCTGAGTCAGATGCATGATGGCCACCAACTGCTGAGCCACTTCTGACTCTGCAACCAGAGAATGAAGGTTAAAATTCTCCAATTGTTACTCTGATCACAGCATCAAGCAGTTTGGGCAGAGAAGCTGCTATGCACAGGAAGGCTGGCATGTAGCAGCATTTCTGTCTGATCCCTAGAGCCCAGCTCACATTTGGTTATTTGCAGAGCAGTGTTTCTGAAACCCTCCCAACTCTCCTGGATGACTATTGACACACTACTGTCCCAGGCCCCAAATGGCAGCCATTTTCAAACTGCTTTGGAGAAACATGGTGATAGTGTGGAAGTGCCCTCAGTATTATAATCAAGTCAATAGTGGATTAGCTGGATAAAAAAGGCAGCTTCTTAGGGTGTTAGGCCACTTTTCTAAAGAAGCCCCCCAATTGACTAACCTGCAATTCTTTACTTCTGTGATAGGTGCTATGGCCATTCCCTTGGCAGGTTTTTGGGTTTTCCAGGGAAGCACAGAGGTATGGAGCCCTCTGCTCATCGAGTCATGCAATTCCTGCCACACAGTTCCTTGGTGTGTAGAGTGGGCAGGTGGTTTTTGGAATCAAGGCTATCTTAATGCAAACTGGCATATTGGAATTATTGGTTTACGTGTTTCGGAATCAAGCAGAAAAACGGAAAGTGATGAAGAGAACCCTTGGCTGGGTATAAGAACTACTCAGAAGTAACTCAATGGTGTTCAATGAGTCTCACTGTTAAAGGGGCACACATTCTCAATTAGGGGCAATTTGCATGTATGTTTAAAAGCTGCTATCACTGTTTCTAGGTGACTGGCCATTCTGTCCTCCCACTATAACCCTTCTGATACCAGTATAGGTCTACTTTAGATTAATCTGAAGCTGTATTGGATCTATTCCCTGGCTTCTCTTCCTTGCTTTTCTTCTGGTACCCCAGGCAGAGGGAGCAGGGGAGGAAATTGACTATAAAATTAGCAACTGACCATCTGGAATTAGCTTTTTGAAAGGTAGGTTTAATCTTTCTTTCCCAGCTTCAAACTGTCCTGGAATGAATCTTCTCTTGCATAGGATAGCTATGGGATAGGAATCCCACAGTACCTGAGGGGGAGGGGCTAACAGGTAAAATACCTAACCATTAGCATCAATGGATCCCCACTTCCCCAAGGCTACACTGAGCATCTTAGGTTTGGTGGGTGACACTAGGAAGGGAAAATAGAATTCTTCCCTACTAGAATGCCTGGTAGAATTACTCAGTACATACTTAGTGGAAGAAAAATTGGAAATGTAGCTGCAAGCTATCTGTTAAGGAACTGAAATCATTTGTCCCTTGTTTAAAAGTCTTTCACACCCAGTTTCTAGATATGAATGAGACAGTATTAAAGAATTAGCAGGTGCATTTGCATGGCGTGCTAAGGTTGGTTTGTTACTCTTAGCTATTTCAGCGGAGTTCACTATATTGTGTGGACAGGGTCTATTTGGTTCATGTTCAATATATTGTGTGAATCTAGAATATGGGCAAATTCAGTAACCAGGTTAATATGTTGTGATGAAGATCAGTTTGTGGTATGTGTCTTTTTAAAACAGAAATTGAAAACGAATCCTATCAAATAGGATATTTTGTGGGAGAAGAAGCCATTTCTGACAGCCAAGTAGACTGAAATCGCAAAGGTTTAATTGAGTAATTGTTGTACCAAATCACACTGTTTTGAAGTCCTGATTACACACCCAGGAATTTATTTGCCTGAGAAAAAAAATTGCATTATGGGTTACAAGATCACAGATTAGTTTTACTGCTGCAGACTTCTATAGCTCAGACGACACTTGCACAGTTCATGGAATCTTGTAACACCATAAAATTGTTGACATTACATTATGGGGAATAAAGAATTACTCAGGTAATGGATGAGCTTGACAAATCCAGTGTGCTTTCTCCTTTTGGCAAAAAAAAAAAAAAAAAAAGGAAATAAAAAGGAAGTAATCTACGCTTTCAATACACTTTTCAATAAATGTTTTGTTTGTTAATCTGTGGAATTCTAGGGAGTAATCAGCAAATACCTCCCATTTTGCCCTTGGGGCTGAATTCAGTATCAGATTGTCTTTATAGATATAATCTAAGTAAGCCGTGAATATTCTTGGTAATTAGGCAGAGGAGGGATGGATGGAAAAATATATTTGTGGCCTTTGTAGCATAACACTTTTCATCCTCATGATGGTATACCGGACCCCAAAAGGAACTTTTTCTCACCTTACTCCCATTTTCCGGGTTACACAGAACAACTTCCCCTCCACTAATAAACTTCCTTCTTTCTACTATATCAGTGTTTCTCAACCTTGGCAACTTGAAGACGGGTGGACTTCAACTCCCAGAATTCCCCA